CTCTCTTTTGCTTTGATGGTACTCCTCTTGGAAAATGCTTTTATTCTGAAATTTCAAAATAGACTACTTTGCAGCCCTGACCATGGGTAAAAATCACAAGGACGTCCTAAGCACACTTCCATGTATGTGACTGTGGTCTGCCTCGCTGGGTTGGAGCCTCTCTGAGAGTAGGATGAATCCGTGATGCTGCAGGTGGCACCTGCACCTGTCAGCACGGTGTCTGATCAACACACAGATCCATGGCCATGCAAGTGTGTTGGTCACCTCATCAGAATGCCTGGAACTCACAACTTAATGGAAAAGAGGTTTGTTCTGGCTCATTTCAGTCAATAGTTGGCTGGCTCCAAAACAGGAGGGCGTGGTAGAGAAGGATAGAGGGGACAAGCTATTTACCTCATGGTGGCCAGGAAGCAGAGAGCAAAAGGGATGAGGAGAAAAATACATTGTTTCTGGTTACACCTCCAGTGACCTTCCTCTTCTGCTGAGGTCCTACCTCCTCACGGCAAGTCAGTGCACTGGCCCCATAATCCAATAATTTTTCAAGAGCCCTACCAGTGAGCACATGTGGCTCTTGGGGGACTCCTAGGTATAAACTATAATATTCCACATCTAGTCCCCAAGACTCATGAGCTTCTCTTTATGCAAAATGGAAGATGTACATCTATAATAAGAGTTTCAGCACTGCTGAAAGGTCAAAGTCTAAAATCTCCTCTGAGACTTAAGGCAGCTCCTTACCTATGAGACCCTGTGAAAATCCAAAAATAAATTAAATGTTGCAGGGTATAAATTCCAATCTGAAAGGGAATGATAGGTAGAAGGAAATCAAACCGAAGCAAGATGGAAACTCAGCAGGGCAAACAGTCAATGTGTAGCTCTCAAACTGGCTAGAAGCACCTGGCTCTCCTATTTTTCCTGAGTGTGCCAAAGGGGTGATGTATCTTGGCCAGCAGTGGTTGCACCCCCTCTGCTGCTTCCCTTTGCTCCTCCTTTCCCCTCCAACATCTTGGTTCAATGTGCTTTGGTGTCTGCTCTGGATATCTAGTGACCACACACCTCCACTCCATGCCAACATGGGTGCACTTTCACTATCAGGGAGGTTCCCCTGCCCTGCTTCCACCATCCCAGATGCTACTGTTGCTTTTTCAAAGAGGGGAGATTGCACCCTGGCATGGTTAAATTCAGGCTGGGAGGAATCTGGGCCCATTGTTAATATCTCCAAATCCTATAGCTAGCTCTGCAGAAGACTCCCTGCTTTCAGTCCTATTCCCTCACAGGACAGTTGCTGTGACAGCAGAGGCTGTCCTGGAGCCCTGTACCAATCATGGGTCTATGCATAAATCAATTATTGGTCTGAAACTGCTATATAAACAGAATTGCACATATATTTATGTGGTTAGTCTAGAAAGACTACATCTATTACATTGTCATCCTTGTGCTGCAGCAATGCCCTATTAAAATAAAGACTCACTTTGGTTATCCTATTCATTTATATTAATTTCTTGTTTAACGTGGGATCAAAGAGTCTGGTAAATCTCAGGATTCTTATACTGAATAGTACAGACAGGGCAGTTGCTTCCAAAGGAAGAGTAGTAAACACTGAGGTCTATTAATGTTGAAGAGCTCCAGAGACCAGCAGTCAACAACGATCAGAGACCAGCATCTAGCAGAGTTGGCCTACAGCATCTGGCACAAGCCAGCACTGGACAATGGCAGCTGTGAGTGGCAGTGAGTGACCAGCAGCTGGCTGTACCCCCTGTTGACACCCATCATTATTCAGTGGCAAAGAGCTTCTTTTTAGCAATTCATGATTCCTATCTCAGAAGAACCCTAACTGAATTGACAACAGCTCCATGTCCAGCACCAGAATATGAAAACCAAAAGGCCTAGTGCCACCACCCCAACGGCACTGCTGGTAGTTGTAGTTCTTATGACTTCTTTTGGGGACTGTTTTTTCTCACTGGGTGTGGCTTTACTCAGTGTTCCACATTAGTGACTTCTTGAACTTTCTTAGGTCTCTACTGCACTTTTGGATTCCATCTTACAAATTTTTACATTACCTCCTCAGAAACAGACTGCATGGCTTTCCAGGACGTCTTCTGAAGTCTAGATGGAAACCTTCCTGGACAAACAACTCTTGTGTTATGATTTGTGTCTAGATATTCCCCCTCCTCATGTGGGATAGGTGGGGAGTTTCTAAGGTGACTGGCCTAGGGTGCCTTAATATGGATTAAGAGTGTGATACTAGGGTTAAGACGTGGACTATGGAAGCCCCTCTTGGGTGTGGATGGCATCAATCAATAGGCTTACAGGTTGTAGGGGCTACACATGGAAAAATGGAGTGTAGGCTTACCTTCTGCTGCCCACTGCTTTTCTACATTCTGCAGTGGGCAGCAGAAGGCAACCTTGCGGGACCATCTCTCCCCTCTGATGCCCTTGTGCCATGCCACACTTGGAGACAACTGACTACACTAAAACCTCTACAAACTACGAGCTGAAATAAACCTTTTCTCCTTTAAATTTGGGTGTTGTATATTTTGTCTCAGCAATGAGAAAAATAATGAAGACATCTTACCATTTTGCATGTCTGTAAAACCAGGATCATGTAATGATTCCAAGATCTGATGCCAACTGGAGCAATAGCCAGGTCCCCTTGAGTCATGAATCCTGAGGCATCCAAGTACCTGGATATCTGAGGACTATGAACCTTATCTCAGGGGTTCAATTCTATAGGTAGTTATTCTAAAACAGGGTGCCCTGTGGCTCTTCCTTCAAAGAAAAGTCTTTTATAACTATGAGCCTAAGAAGGATATAGTCTTACTGGTTTCTATGATGTATTCAAACCATCCTTTCTATCGTCCTGTTGTAGTAGAGTGCCTGGCTTCTTTTTAATATTTTCATCAACCTTCCTTTCCAAGGTACCACTTTTGAAGGGTCTTCCTTTCTGGCCAAGCTGAAAACTTTTCAAATGAGCTTTGGCTCTTGGCTGTCAGTATAAATCTGACTAAAAGCAGGTAGTGTCCCTGCTACATTCTGAACTTTAAGCTATCATGAAATTTTCTCTGACAGGTTAATTAATCCAATCACCACAACTTAAATCTCTCTAAATGTCTCAGAACATGAGCAAAATGTAGACAAATTCTCTGTTAGCACATAACACACTTACCCTGGAGTCCAGAGTCCTTGATCTCAGCTGAGACCTCCTCAGCCTGGTTCTTTGTTCTTTTTTGTGTATGCGACAGGCCTTGGCATGTAATTCAGGCTGTCCAAGAGATTTTCACTAAAACATGTTGGAGGAGAAGGATGGGGAGCTCTTAGGCTCCCCAGGAAACATGAAAAGACAGTCCAAAAGGCAGTGTTGGCATTTTGATCTTTTCTTACAAGACTAGTAAGAAAACTTTCAAAACAATTCTTCAGGGGATGTTAATGGAAAGAGCAGAAATAGACACGAGGCTTGGAAATGCTAAAAATTACTTTTCTGAGGAAGACTCCAAGGGTTCAGTAACAGACATGTATGTAAAGAGATTTCCAATAGGAAAATTCAGGCAGAAGTAGTGGCCTGTGTTTCTCTTACATTGTGGAAGCAGAAGGCAATAAAGAATAATTGAAAATGAATATGAATTGTGGCAGGAAATGTGAACATCTATTTCAGATAATAATTGGCCATGGTTTAATTAAGAGGAACCTGGGTAGAAGAAAGCAGAATGGGAGGAGGCGAGCATATGGAGGGACAGGGCAAGACAGGCCCAGATATTTCTGTGTCTCTAGGTCACAGAATAATTCTCCATCTTACTTAGTACAGCTTTCTCTACACTTCCTGGGACCAAGTAAAATTAAACCACAGGGGCTCCTCCACCTCACATACACATATCCTGTTAAATTTGTAAATAGAAGCTGATGTGTGTGTGTGTGCATGTGTATACACAACTGTGTTCTTTCATTTAGGGCCTCCATATGCACATATCTTAGAAGACAAAGATTTTTTCAGATTGGGTTAGTAAAAATGATGATATTGATTAATAAAATCTACAAACAAGAATCATAAATATCTCTTGAGGTCAAAATTAAGTAAAAATCACCAGTCAAAATGGTTATGAAAATTAGTCTTAAGACAATGATTGGAGACATGTCAAAAAGCCTTTTGAAAGCAAATTCTGAGGTACAGGATCTCAGGATAAATCCTGAGGGGATTTCACTGACCTTATAGACCCAAAAGCTACAACTCTTGTTGCATAGGTCCTGCTTTACCTTGGTCTTAACCATCCAGCAGAAAAATATAAAAATGAAGTATAAGAAGTAAAGCCATGCTGTTATGTTGAGCTGCAGGGGACTCAGGTCAACAATTTCTGACATTGCCAGTCAAGTGGAAGACCCAATACCATTATGGACTTCTGAACTCTTTTAGAATATTTTTCTCAGTTAACACACCTATAATATTCAAATAACAGAACTTAACATAAAAAGGATATACAGATGAATGTCCATTTTGTATCTGTGTACTCAAAATGGTTAGGATAGATATACAGTTACATTCTCTTAATGAATAGAGGGATTTTTTCTAACAGTGTTTGTAAATAGGATATCATATCCACATCTTGTACAACAATTAACCACTAAGAAGAATGCATACAGTGCATTAATTATTGAAACTGTCCTACCAATTTGGTTTGAAACTGTCTCATTGCAATTTGTTTCTCAATAAAATTATGGAATAAAAATAAAGATGTAAAGAAGATCAGTGGTTTCCAGGAGTAAGAGGTCAGTGATGTGGCACCCACTGAAAATGTGAAGAATGTTTTCCAGGGTACAGAGATAATCTAGTTCAGTACTGTCAATAAAAGTGCAACTTGATACACAATTCAACATTCTAATAGGTACTTTTTTCTTTTAAAGTAAGAAGACCTCATGAGTGGTCTGACATCATGAAAAATGTCTCCTGGGGCCTCTGCAAGGAGAAACTGAAGTAGTAGTCTCAGAATCACGGCCAAGCTGCAAGAGGGAAGATGGCCAAGACTGAACCCAAGCCAGTGCAGGACCTTGCAGTGGTGGGTACTGTCCACCGAGGACAGATGCTGCTGAAGCACTCTCAGCTCATGTCTGAACAGATTGCTGAAGTGTTGATGGGAGTGGTCATGATCTACTGGGCTGACCACGAGAAAAGCATTGCGGATCTCATAGTGCAGGCTGGGGTGAGAGTACTGGAATGTCAAGACAAGGTAGCTGCCACAAAAACTAGAGTTGTCCAGGCATGCCGTGCCAGCCCCACTGCCGGGGTGAGCTGAGATAGTGAATGACGCTGGGCATGGTGATGCGTGCCTGTAATTTCAGCACTTGAGGGGCTGAAAAATAGGAAGGATCACTACGAGTCCAATCTGTGTAATGAGGCCCTGTACTAAATATATTATTAGAATCGAATGTTGCTGATAATCTACCTTGAAGCACCATTTTTCCAAAGCCAAGAGAAGATTTCTGAGGCTTTTTGCAAGTAACTAATATGTGTAGACAGTTTACTTTTATTCAAAAGTGGGTGTTCTAGGGGCTGAGGAGATAGCTCAGTAGAATAAATGCTTCCCTGGCAAGCACAAGGGCCTGAGTTCAATCCTTGGTTCTGAAAAAAAAAAGTGGGTGTTCTTGCCATGTCCTATACAGTTAGTGACATGACCTCCCCACCTCCTATTTCACAAAGATGGTAACTTCACATCTTGGAACTTAGTCAGTTGTGTTCTTAATTATTAAACATTAAACGTAGGTAGTTCCTGAGTAAGATTGCCAAATTTTATAGCACAGTTTTGTGAAGTCATTCTTTCCTGGCATTCCTTTTGTATGAGTTGCTATTTGATAAGAGTTATTGCAATTTTTCCTTTTATATTAGTGAATCTTCTAATTGCTTTTAGACTTAGTGAAGTAAGGAATTTGTACAATTATAGTTCTGTCATTTTAAGCATAAAATGACTGTTGAGCCAATATCAAATAATGTGTTGACAATGTTTTTCAAATGGATAAAAAATCTAAAAGTTGCTTATTCAGTAGTATGTCATTAATCTGTTACCAAAACTCAATTCCATTGTTTTTGTTTGTTTGTTCTATTTTGTTTTGTTTTGGTACCAGGGATTGAACTCAGGTCCTTGTGTTTACCAGGCAGGCACTTGAGCCACTGAGCTATCTAATTGAACCTTGGTTTAGGACTGTGAAATGCTAATATCATTGAAATGTAACTAACTGGTGTTAGTGTTTTTAAATGCAGCAAACAACTGAGTAGCCTGATGTAACAAGGCATTCACATGTTAGAGTTTTGTATTAGATTCTAATTCTTCAGGAGAACCCCACATTGTTAATCTACAATGATTATCATAAAAATATGGCAGGATTTTGAATGCTACTCATATCCATTCTTTGAATTCCTGGTTGGAAAAGAGAAAAGAAGGAACATATTGAATATCTATCGCTTGGCTAGAAATGAGGAATGACAGGCAGGCTCACATTCCTAAGAAACCATCTTTTAGTTGAACTATTTCTTGCCTACATTTTTGCAGAGTACCGAGTTTGTTACTGATGATAGAAGAGAGAGATAGTAACTCTTGTCATTCAAAAACATGTCAGGAATGCTGGGAGTAGAGGGCAGAGTTGATAATCTGTATGGAATCCATAGGATTGTCACTGCAAAGATATTTCATACAATAAAAAATATGAATGTCTGAAAAAGTTGAGGAATGGCTACAGGGTCTTCCTAAGCAGCAGAGCCAGCTGGCACGTGGTCCCCAGGATCAAACCCAGGTCCTTGCGCTTTCCAGGCAGGAACTTAGACCACAGGCTATCACCTCAGCCTGATGTGGTCCTTCTTAAAAGGATACCTTTAATGAAAATAGTATCTTTTTTTTTCTTTTTGGCAGAACCAAGGATTGAACTCAGACCCTTCTACTTGCCAGGCAAGAACTTATTCTACTGAGCTATCTCCCCAGCTCAATAGTATCTTTTTTTTTTTT